CGCGTATGATTCTTTTAAATATAAAACACTTTCTACTGCCCTTACTGCAATGGAAAAATTAATGGTAACAGATGGCGCGCTAATGCTTCATAGTATATATATATATATATATAAACCCCAAAACTTTAAAAAATTTCCAAATTTTTGCATATATATATATATATTGTCTTGCTATAGAATATATTTTTCCAGCCTATCATCCTTAGAGTTTTTTTATTTATTGTATTCGCGATATTTATTATAATCGCTGTTTTTTTGGAATTGGAATATATTGTAAGGTAGTTATCTCGATAAGATAAAAATAATTTAAATTACAGAACAATTTCTATCCATAGTTAATTTGTATAGTTATGTTGAATACTTTGATTTCCTTTCATTTTCCCTTCCTCTCCTTTGTTTATGTTTTTCCCCCCTTTCTCCATGAAAATGATGTATGGAGAGTCCTTACAAGACGGAAATTTCCTAATAAAGCAGTTGTTGTTGTTGATAAAAAAAATTATTTATGAGTTTAAAGATGAAAAAATATATAGATAAAAAAATATTAATTTAAACAAGAAAAAAGGTGACAAGAAGTTTCCGAATCATCATTCGGTAACAGAATATAGAAATAAATAATTCAGTGATAATTATCACTGAATTATTTATTTCTATATATTTTTGCACAAGAGAACCTGATTATGTTTCTAGCGTAACTATTCATGCTGAACTCAAAAATCTAATCAGAAATTTTCCATCACCTATGGTTTTTGCGTGACGGTCTTTTTTTAGTATTGGGATAAATACAGTAAAAAATGCAAACAATGTTACGTAAGCAGTTTTGCATAACCCTTATTACATTACACTGGTTTATCAAAAAATATTTTTCTTTGTCCACAAAGAAATAGCATCTTATCTACATGTCCTGAATCCAAATATACCATTAATTTTTTTCTATTACGCAATATTTCTGAGATACACCTACTTGAAATTTGGAAAGATTGTTAATATATAGGCATATATGAACGAAACATATTTATTTATTGAAAAGCAGTGACAGTGGATTTTCTTCTATACTTTGCTTGTGGTAGATCCCTCTTGAGTGTCCAGCAGTAGTCGGCAAGCATAGCGGGACTCCATTTACCTTGGTACCGCTTTTCCATGCTTGATATATCTTGATGAAACCTCTCACCATGCTCATCGCTAACTGCGCCAAGATTGTCTGGAAAGAAATCTAGATGTGAATGCAGGAAATGGATCTTGAGGGACATGTTACATCCCAGTGCCTTGTAGGAAAGCAACAGCTCATTAACTATGTCTCGGTAATTTTCAACCTTGACACTTCCTAATACGTTTTTGCAAACGTTTCTAAAGGAATTCCATGCTGCTGCTTCAACTTCATTCAAACTATTTTTAAAATGTCCATCTTGCTGCAATTCTCGTATCTGAGGTCCAACGAAAATGCTTTCTTTAATCTTCGCTTCACTTATACTAGATTTTTTTTTGTTTTAGGTAGGCAAATCCACTGGCATTTCGATCCATTGCCTTGACAAAGTTCTTCATTAATCCCAGTTTAATATGTAATGGTGGTAAGTAAATATTTTCTGAATCGATCAGGGGTAGATTTGCAATATTTTTATATCCTGGAGTAAAGATTTTACGGTTTGGCCAGATTTTTTTAATGTAATGCCTTTCCCGATCTCTGCTATCCCACTCACACAGAAAACAACAAAAATTTGTATATCCAAGCTGTAATCCACGCAAGAAAGCAACGACTTTCAAATCGCTGCATATTTTCCAACCGTATCTTTCATATTCTATCTTTTTCAAAAGCAATTTCATGTTTTCGTAAGTCTCTTTCATGTTGGATGCATTTGCTATTGGCACTGATGGAAACTTATTTCCATTGTGAAGGAGAACAGCTTTCATACTAATTTTTGAAGAATCAATGAATATATATAAAAACGCCACTCTTCTGTATCATGGTCATGACCAAGCGCTTCCATTAGACTAACAACATCATTGCAATATACTAAATCATTTTCTTGTGAAAAGAAGTCTTGACGCTTTTCATCTTGACGCTTGCGAAAAAAAGCATACTTTTGTGCCTTTATGCAGCAGATTCCAGCCTTTTAACCTAGAGCCTAAAAGTTCACTCTGTTTTGGATAAATCTAAATCACGTACGAGGTCGTTCAAATCTCCTTGGGTTAATAAATAAGGTTCAGATAAAGCACCTGCTTCAAAATTTGTGTTATCCCACTGTTGCTCTCGTCTATCTGAATCATCGTCACTAAATATTACATTTTCAGGAGGCTGTGGAACAGGTAAAATATCACTATGAGGAACCGGTCTCATAGCAGAAGGCAAATCTGGATATTCAACTGTATGTCTTGATTTGGATGTAATACCTGTAGTCTTTGTCAAACAAAAATAACAGTCTGAAGAATGGTCTTTAGGTTCCCTCCATATCATTGGAACCGCAAAAGGCATATGACGTTCACCTTTAATCCACCCTGTAAGATGTCGAACACAAATTACACAACAATGGTGAGGAGCCCAAAGTCTTATCTTGGTCACCGACTTTAAAGCCAAAATGAAGATCATAGCACTTTTTGATGAGCGGTGTAAAGTTTCGCCTTTGAACTTTGAAAGTTAATTCCCCACAAATATAACAGAAAATATCAGGAATATTAATGCAACGCCTCGGCATATTGACACAGTCTAGTGCACACGATTTATAAAAGCAAATCGATAGAGAAGAATAAACTAATCACTTCAAATTTACCTGTCACTTCTGCTGCAAATCTATTAAACAAATCGTTAGGTTCAATTTAAATATATATATTAAAACTGTTAATGAGCAAATAGCATTACAGAGCTTGTCGTTATTTTTGAGTTGAAAGCAAAACAGATTATAATATTATATAATAATAAATTATATATATTCAATTAAAATTTCAATAATTTGTTATTTAAATTAATATTTATGATTCTTAAAGAGCAAAATTTGATTAATAACAAATAAAATAAAGCTTTTGGCTCCACATACCAACTCTCCTTGTCAAAAATAAAGCGCTAGCTTAGTTAATGATGTAACTTAAAAAATGCTTACGTAACATTGGTTGCATTTATTACTGTATTTATTCCAATACTCAAAAAAGACCATCAGGCAAAAACCATGGGTGATGGGTAATTTCTGATTATATTTTTGAGTTCAGAATGAAAAGTTACACTAGAAACACCATCAGGTTCTCTTGTGCAAAAAAAAAGTTTTTTTTTGTAGACCTGTGTAATTAAATTAAATGTTATATAATATCTATCTCGTGGTTAGGTTTGAAGGTTTTAGAGTTTCTTTGACTTCATGTTTCTCAAGTTAAACTTATTTAGACATAGTTTATTGCTCTGCTTTACATCACTGTGGATTCGAATTTCTAAATAATATACTATTTTTATTTTATTTTATTATTATAGAAGCACGAAGTCTATCAGACTATTGTACTATATTAGAATTATTTACATATATATCTTTAATTAAGTATACGATGAATTAGTAGTGATTTATAAATCTGTGTACAAATTGCTCTAAACTTGCCAAAGTTTTCATAAGATTGAGTATATACAGAAAGATGATTTGGCATTATCTCAAAATAAGCAAGTACAATTTGATTAGTCAGAAGGCAAGCCAACAAAAGATGCTCTGGTGTCGCAACATCTAGACAGCATTCACATGTTGAATCATTTATAACTCTCAAGTCAAACAGAAAACTTAAAATGAGTCCTTTGCCTGTGAAGAACAAATATACTATTGATGTTTCATTCTGATGGAAATACGAAGATTTTTTGAGTAAAATTAATCAAGCCTCCAGGGAAAAATAAAAGTGGCGGGAGAGACGATCAAAAACTTTCATGCCAAGTTTTTTCCTGTAGAAGGGCGTCCGTGCCCGAAAGCTAGAGAATAAAAACGTTTTGAAAATATGCTTTTCCCTGGAGACCTGATATTTTTACTCAATATTGATACAAGGGTTTATTTTATTGAACGAAGAAATTCTATGATAGCTTGTATACTTGTGAAAATATTAATTTAAAACTCATTTGAAAAAGAATTAACCCTCTTGATACAACTTGATACCCCCTTGTATTAATAAACAAAAATACCTTTCAAAAATCTACATTTAAAATGCGCTTAAAAGGAAAAATAAATATTTTAGATATCGCTATTGAGCAATTATTTTATACGAGTCAAAATAAAAGTGACGGGAGACGATCATCATGGATTTTGATCTTAATAATAATAATAATCCCTAAATATTTTTACTTCTTCACTCAATATACGCTTATCATAAAATGGCATCAATCTATTCCCATTGTACCACCACTTTTAATAGAATAAAATCAAACGAAAGAGAATGGAGCATATGTTTTCTGATTCCAACTATAAGGAAAACATATAGATGGATCATATTAAGTTTTTTTTTTTTTGCTTATCCCTATTACACGTGGGTACAGGCCATGATAATTATGGTGGGTAGAAGTAGGCCCTGCTTTTTACTGCATCACATGTCTACACATGTGAAAAGCATTCGACTTTGCACTTACAAATGTGCCAGAGCCCCATTTGGTTATTTGCACTCGCTGGTGGGGTTGGACTTTTGCAATAATCGGGGGGCTATTGGAGCATTTTTTTTTATCAGAAAAAATGCCCAATGCGGGAATCGAACTCGGGTCGTAGCGGTCGAAAACCAACGGTTTAGACCATCCTTCCACCGACTCCCCAGGTCATATTAAGTTTTTTTTTTTTTGCTTATCCCTAGTACACGTGGTACAGGCCATGATAATCATGGTGGGTAGTTAACGACTGCTTTTTACTGTAAGCGCACCACAGGTCTACACATGTGAAAGCAGTTCGACTTTGCACTTACAAATGTGCCAGAGCCCCGTTTGGTTACTTGCACTCGCTGGTGGGGTTGGACCTTTGCAAGAATCGGGGGGCCATTGGAGCATTTTTTTTTTTAACAGAAAAAAGTGTCCAATGCGGGGATCGAACCCGGGTCGTAGTGGTCGTAAACCAAACGGTTTAACCAGCCTTCCACCGACCCCCTCATATTAAGTGAAGATATTAAGCCAATAAGACTTATCCTTGGGCTTGAAGTGGGAGCATAAAGTATGCAAGACAAGGATTAGAACCCAGAACCGTTTGTTCCACTCTCTGGTTGAACCAAGCAAGATATTGCTTTCTCCATACACATCAAACTCTGACTTGTGAATAACTTCGCAATGGCAATTGGTCAGGGAAGATGAAAGATTTGATTTCCTAATTAGGTAGTTTTATATACAACTTTTGAAAATAGAGCAATGCATAAATATATCTTTAATAAAAAAGGCATATATTGGATTTTTAAAAATATTTTATTTTATCAATATTTAAGTTGACTGAACTATTGGAAAAATAAATGATATTTTGATCCAAATATGCCTTTTTAATATGTTATAATATATTGAAAAAGGTTGGCGTTCAGCCAACTGAACTATTGGTAAAATGAATGATATTTTGATCCATTATATGCCTTTTTAATTAAATATACAACTTTATATACACGGGTATTTTTGATCGTCCAAGAATAGGGGGCTTATCAAATATTAGTTTTATGTCACAATAATATGGTCGGTGAACGGCAGTATAAACAAACGGTTTCCGACAGCCATGAACCGGGATCGAATCCCGCATTGTACACTTTTTTTGTGAAGAACCTGTTCATATTATCCATTGTAAATAACATAAGCTAGGTTGTTCTTTTTGAGTGGTACCTAATAAAGATATTTTAGAGCAGGATGTTGTATTGAATCCTGCTAAACTCTCTAACTAGTTGTCTCTTAAATCATTTCCTCAAAACTTTCTTGGTAAAAATCGAGTTCTCGGAATGAGACGGCAGTTGATAGGTTATGGTAAAATTTACGTCTTCTATTTTTATTTTATTTCAATTTAAACGGCTATGTTCTCCTAGGGACACTTGCGCTGTCATACATGTATGTCTTTACATTTGTCTATACATATATATACAATAATTTTAGGCCGTGAATAGAATAGTCATATGATGCTAACAATGAGAATGTGAGAAAAAAATCTTATTTGACTAGCAGGTGATTCTCGATTGTAAACAAATTTACGTCTTCTAGGTGCGCTCATATTAATAAAAATGTGTTTTTTTTTTTTTTTTTTTGGTCATATGTAATTTTAGAGATAATGATGAAGACTTCAGTGAGAGAGGAACAGGGTTAAGGTTTTCAACGATATCAACGTGGAGAATAGTAGACGCTGTCAAGGCCGATGGGATGTTCTGGTCTGTTGGAGATGTGGCATCTGCTGAGAACAATAGGAATCCCCTTCATTCGCCCATAAGTAATTTGTTTTCTGAACAATTTAGTGAAGCATTGTGTATGTCTTCTGTGAATAAAGCAGTCCAAATTATGTGTTTATTTCTCCCATATCTACATAATAACAGTTTCTGGTGCTTTTATATCAAATGCAGAAATAATTTGGTAAAATAATAATCATATTTAATCTAATGCTGAAAATGACTGGTACAGAGCAGGAGTAACAAACACCAATTCTGTCCTCCCAAGGGAACAACAGTCTTTGATTTCCAGACTTAAATCTGGTTATCTACAATGACTTTCCAGATTGGTTGTAAGGTTTCCCTACTATGTAGTAAGTGCAACTCTCAACCTGCAACCACAAAGCACATCGTTAACTGTATTTGTTCATCCATTGATGAGCTCTAATCATCCCCAGCAGACACCATCAAAAGTCTCAACCTTACAAGCTTCATACTCTAATATGATTGGGTAGAGAGAAGAAAGAAGAAGATAATGATATTTCATACCCAACGGAATTTTTATTGGTTAGACCTTTAAAATATCGCAGACAGAAACCAAATTTGTACTTTAATTATTTATGAGAATAAAAAGCTATTCAACTAAAGATTCTTTCTTTTGCATCATCAACTCGTATTCATTTCTAAGATAGATTGTCATTGTTTTTATTAAATCAATTTTATGCTTTAATTCTGCTATTACTTCATCTTTTTCAACAAATTTTTGTTCACTGAAGCGATTGGATATTTTAGCTTTTCTTTTTTCAAGTAAGGTTTCAAGGAAATCAGTTTTTCTTTTTATACACTCGCCAAGCTGAACGCTAAACGATAATTTCCCTGAACATTTATAAAATTCCTGTCTTAATCCTGAAGCCTCAGCTCCTATCAATTCTTTCAATACCTCACAACCCTTTTTCATATTATTTCTCATTTGAACAGCTTTTTCCACTTCTTTATTTATTTTTTTGAATTTTCTATTCAATTTTGCTAATTCTAATTTCGTTTTTAGCATTTGTTCTTTTTGTGTAGTCCTCAATCCTTTTATCTTTTCAACTTCATTGAATACTAGGAAAAAAGATTTGCTCTGTTTTTGAGCGATTGCTAAATCGTACATTTTTTTACTTATGGAGGAATTGAGCATTTTAAATTCTTCTTTCATTGTATTCGGGGCATGTAATCCTTTTTTTAATATAGCCTGATAATAATTTGATAAAGCACCTCTTTCTAGTTTGTAGCTTTCGCTAATTTCGTTTTTCTTTGCATCAAGGCATATTTCAGCCCATCTGATTTGTGCTTCAGCTAATGTTTTACATTTTTCTTCTTCTATGCTATACGATTCAAGATACTGGTTATGAAGTAATCTTTGTATACTTTGAAAGTGGTTTTTACTTTCATCAATATGTTCTAAGTTATACAGATACGATGCTCTTTCTGAATAACGTTGAGAACATAAAAGATTCAAGAAACCATGTTTTCGGAAACGAAATCTTCTAGTAATGTCATCTATTTCCCAATCGTTACTAGAATAAGCATTACCGATTTGAATTTCGTAAAAATAATTACAAATTTCTTGTTGACTCAACATAATTTGACGGCGTATTTGATCATCTTTTTGAAAAATGATTTTAAAAGTTCTTCTCTCAATTTCTTCGACTCGTAATTTTTTGCGGTGTAATTCTGATTTTAATATTTCGGTTTTACGTTGGTCAAATCGTTTTTGTCTAATCATTTCTTTTATTTCTCGTCTTAGATTGACCTTAATGCTTGTTCTACTTTGACCTGTTGAAAAACACGTTCAATATGGCTTGCTAATTCTTCTTTTCTCATTTCTTGAATTGGAAGTACGTCCACATCTTTTTTTATTTTAGACTTTTTATCTTTAGACAGTCTCCTTTTCTTTTTAGGCGCCATGTTGCAAAGGAAAAAGTCTTTAAAATATCTAGCACATAGGCTAGAATGATATTTCTATATAAACAATGGTATTTTGTTTTGATTCTGGATACACATTTTATTTCAATGTTATTTGAAATTGCTTCCTGTTCTTTTTACATAGTGTGAGAATTCGCAGATAATAATTTGCATGAAAGAAATTGCACACACTATCTTTTGATTGAAATAAGAATTCGAATATTTTAACAATACTGTTAGCTCTTTCATAGCGTAGAAATTAATTTAAAAAACGCACAAAGGAAACGCCCGAATATATTTTATTTATTCAATACGAAATACTATTTTTAAAAATTGATAAACAAAATCACAAAAGTTGAATTATAATGCATGAGGAGAAACTGGCTCTCTGTATTTTAATAATATCTGTTATTGGGAAAAATGAATTTAATCAAATTACACATTTTGAATATCTTATGATAAAATTTATATAATGTAGATAGATGAAACAAGCCATCAGCAACTTTCACTTGCAAGATATAAAAATTATTTTTAAATTATAAATTATAGAACAAATTACTCTGTAAAGACGACACCAGATGTCGCGGCTTTCCCTATATAAACTCATTTTTTGTTGTTTCCCGTTGGCCGGCTCAAATATTTCCGTAGATATGTAAATAAGTCTTTCATTTTCTTTAATTATACACCTTAAATTAGGCAATACTTTATCAAATTATGTATTTTATATTTTATAAGCTTAATTAAAACAAACTAGCAAATTATTATTTCTACCACGACTGCAATATCGCAAAAATACTCATGTATCTAAAAAATAATCAGCAAGTAATAATTATATAACTCTAATTCAAATATAAACAAGTATATTTTAAAATATATATATACATTTTTTCTATGTTTTTCTTCATATCTATTCATCCTCAATGAACGTTCTAAAAAATGTAATAGTTCTCTTTTAAACTTGATTTTCGTTTTTCTATATGCGTGGTCTGGGATAACTTACTAATACAGTTGAACCTCCCTTTAGCCAACACCTCTCCACAAAGGACAGTTTTCATTTGCAAAATTACCATTTTTACAATTTAGCGACTCTTCGGTAAGAGGACACCACTCCCTAAAGGACACTTTGGATCTGCAATTAGGTGTTGTCCTTTAAAGGGAGGTTCTACTGTATATGGAATAACACTCTCTTCACTCTCTTCTTCACCATCAGATAGTTTAAAATCGATATAACCTTCCTCATACCAGTTGATGTAGGATTGTGTAAGGTCACAGGAGGCAGCACGTCTTGTACAATCCTTGTAGATTGTATCTCGATGCTGAATGTAACTGACTAAAAACAATCTCACAAGAAACAACAGCATCAGAATATACAGCAACAGTATATATTTAGATACAACTTGTATTATTTCACTAGCAGCATTGCTATACCTATCTGATTATAACATCGAACCGTTATTTTAGTAACTTTTGATTTTTACTTTCAATCCGAATTGTTCGGATTTTATTAAATGTGTTGACTTGTTTTTTGAAAATGAAATGTATTGATCGTTGACATAATATTATAATTATAAAACATCCCATAGTAATATAATGTGATTTGGAAGGTTGAGTTCACATTGTAGCACCAGTAGAGGGCTGTACAGTGGAGTCTCCCATTAGAGAACAGCTAACACATGAGTAACCTGATCTCTTCTGAAGACGGTTTCTCATTAGAAAGTGTTTCGGCTGAAACTCAAGATTTGACCTGACAAGACAGAATATATAATAAACAATTAAACACGAAAGTTTATTTTACACATAAAACAAACTTCTACTGTCCCTACTGCGATGAAAATATATATTAGGAGGGCTT